TTTTAAAAACAAAACAAAAAATTAGTGTCATACTAATACACCGTGTAAAATTTTGCTTCATGTACACTTATAGACTGTGACTTAACCCCAAAATCTTAATTTTAAAATAAACTTCTAAAGTTAAGTGTCTTATTTTATTTGTTTGCAAATTTAAAAACTTTTTATATACTACTTGTAAATTTAGAAAAATTACTCTTTGAGGACTAAAAAATTTCAAAACCCATCTGGGTTTTTTATAGCTAAAAATTAAAACCCCTTACAATTAAAAAAACGTGATGTATACACAGTTAAGGCTGTTAAGCTATATTTTAAAAAACCCAAAACCATTTATGGGTATATTTTTAAAAAAAATAAGTTGGGGCCCCCCGTCAATGGATTTTGGGCTTTTTTAAATCAAAGTTGTATAACAAGGGGAAAAAAAAATGTTAAAAAAAAGACTCTTTAAATTTAAGCTCATTCCTCCTACATGTGGTGTACTCCCTATTGTGGGTTGCAGGGTTCGATTTAACAGTCCTGCCCCCCCTCTTCCTGGCCGCTACTAAGTCACTCATCCTACTTTAGAGCTTTATTTACCTCTCTTAAAGCTATGTATGGATCCCCCCGCCCTTTACTACTCAGTTCCCAGACTATTTCCCTTCCGACAAATCTGGAGAAAAAAATCTTCCTAACATCCCGTTTTTTCATCTATCTTTTTAAATTCCGTTGGACCCCCTTTTTGTTGTGTCCCATCCTGGAACTCCTTCTTTTCCCCCTTTCAAACCTCTCAGAAATTTTTTATGTCGTCATCAGTCCCCCCCTTTTTTTCTCTTCCTCCAGTGTCTCAGGTTGATTTCATTTAACCCCTCCTGAGGGGCATACCTCTTTGCTCTGGGGGCAGTCTTTGCAAACCTTTGCACTTCTCTAGTTTCTTTACGTGTTGGCTAGGTTGGGTTTCCCAAAATGGTGCCGCAACTCCAAAAAGGCCTAAACCGGGGTAACCAGGGGGCCTGAACGATTTCCTTTAAAATGTCGGAATGCTTTCTTAGGTTTGCTAGGCCCCCCCTTTGGCAGCAGTTTTTTGGTTGATGTGGCTTCAGGGAGTGCCTGGTGTTATACTCCCCCAAAAATTTTTCCCCTTTATGGGTTTGTAGTCTCTGGCCCCCTAGACTGTTCCCGTCCGGGGGTCTTCTTTTCCCTTCCCCAATTTCATGACTTTGCACGGGGGGGGTTGAACTCCAGGGGCCAATTGCTGGCCGGTCTGCAAACCCGTCCAGATCCCTTTTTTAGTTCTGCCTGGTCTTCGATCGAATGAATTCTTTCATCAACTTCACGTCTTGCAAAAAGGGACACTTCGGGGTCATTCCCCCGTCTGTCGTTCCAAAAACCGAAACGCCTGGTCCTAGGACTGACCCCTGTAGGACCCCGCTGGTCACAGGTGCCCACCTATCCTCGCCAGTACCAGACCGCTGCTGTCTTTGAAAAAATTTCCGATCCTTGTAGTGCCTCCCCCGTTTTCCCCCTTGGTCCTCCCGTTTTTTTCCTAAACTCTTTTGTGGAAAATGTTCAAACGCCTTTCTTGCGTCCCCAAAAAAGCAATCCACCCACCCCCCTCCTTTTTGCTTACTGCTGTCACCATGTCATAAATCCCGTGGTTTGTGACAGATTTCCCGTCCCTAATCCATGTTGGTGCTGTTGTGGATGATTCCTTTCTAGGTTCCACACTCTTCCGATAATCTTCTCCATGACTTTGTATACTAAAATGTCAGTGCAATGGGCTGTATTTAGTGCTTTTATGCTGCTCCTTTTTTTAAAAACTGGGACTACATTTGCTGCCTTCCATGCCTCAGGGAGTCTCCCTGTTTGATAGATGTATTGAATTTGTTAGGGTACACAAGCACCCCTGTCCCTCCTTTAGGGCCCGTGGTGAATATTACCGCCCCTTGCCTTTTGAGGTATCTAGCCACTCGAAACCTCTTCACCCTTCTTTCCTCGGTTGTGTACTGTGTCCAGCACTTGGTGGGGTGCCCCACCTCTCCCCTCTTTTGGACCCCTTCTGTTCCTCGGGGGCCTTCATTGAACCCCTTCTTGAGTTCCCAAAAAATACTTTCCCGGGCATTTCTTTTTGTCCCCCCTCCTTCCTTTCCCTTAGCCCGTTACCCGGTCCTTTACTGTTTTTTCCTCCCGAGGGGTGTATAACATTTGGGTGATTTGACTTTCGCTGCTTTGTCGTTTTCTTATGTCGTTGGGCCCCCCTTTCATCTTTTCTATTTTATTTTGGGTCTAGAGCTCTCCTTTTTTCCCGGTCCCTTTTCCTCTTTTCTTCCATTCCCTAGCACACTTGGTTTTTGCCTCCCTGCACCTTTGGGTGAACCATGGGCTCGTCCTGGCTTTTTCATTATTCCTGTTACCCTTGGGTACAAACCTCTCCTCAGCCTCCTTGCACATTGTTGCTACATATTCCATCATCTCATTAACTGGCTTCCCTGCCAGTTCTCTGTCCCACTGAACCCCGTGCAGGAAGTTCCTCATTCCTATGTGTGTGTGTGTGTGTGTGTGTGTGTGTGTGTGTGTGTGTGTGTGTGTGTGTGTGTGTGTGTGTGTGTGGTGTGTACTCACTATTGTGATCAGGTCAGTCCTAGTCAGTGTGTGTGTGTGTGTGTGTGTGTGTGTGTGTGTGACTGTCTGTCTGTCTGTCTGTCTGTCTGTCTGTCTGTTCATGTCTGTCTATATAATTCATCGGCCGCATTCCACATAAATAGGATGAACACAAAAATTTTAAGGTGTAATTGGAAAATTTTGTGAATGCACAACGGTAATCAGTGTATGTGAATTGTAATGTATTATACAAAAAGAGTTGCTAAGAAATTTAAAGTTACTGTGTCCGATTACAGAGTCTCATAAGTGGCGAGCATTCAGTATCATTCCAGATAATTGGGTGAAGTATTTTGTTGACGAGAAGGCAGGTCAAGTGGTTGATTACCAGCATAAAACACTACCCGGCCCTGGGTAGCAACAAGTTTACGTTTGTACTCTCTTCTGCCTCTTTCCATCGATACTTCAACGTGACACCCATGACTCGGCCAAGTTTTGAATCTAGACGCCTGCAAGCACAAACAGGTAAATACACACACACACACACACACACACACACACACAGAAAAGAATATTATGCATAGATAAGGAGGGAGGCCCAGCGACAATACGAAAATGACACAGCAGGGAAAGCCAAGTCTGACCCGAAGCTGTTGTACAACCACATCAGGAGGAAAACAACAATCAAAGACCAGGTAATCAACTTGAAGAAGGAAGGAGGGGAGATCACAAGAAAGGACCGAGAAGTATGTGGAGAGCTCAACAAGAGATTTAAGGAAGTATTTATAGTGGAGACAGAATAGACTTCAGAAAGTCGAAGTGGTGGGGTACACCAGCAAGTACTGGCCACAATATATACAATCGAGAAAGACGTGAAAAGGCTGCTAAGTGAACTAGACACCTCAAACGCGATGGAGCCGGACATCTCTCCGTGGGCCTTGATAGAGGGAGCAGAGGAGCTCTGTATACCACTAACAACAACTTTCAGCATATCAATCGCAACAGGGCGACTACCTGAGGTGTGACAGCAAATGTAGCCCCAGTTTTTAAGAAAGAAGACAGACATGTAGCACTAAACTACAGATCAGTGTCACTAACATGTATAATATGCAAAGTCATGGAGATTATCAGAAAGAGTATTGGAGCACCTAGAAAGGAAAGAGTTTATTCACGACAACCAGCACTGTTACATGTGAAGCTAATGAGGAGAATTCAACCGGACGAGGATCAGGTAAGACTACAAAGTCATCTGCACAGGCTGCAAGCCTGGTCCAGAAACTGGCTCCAAAAGTTTAACATCAAAAAGTGCAAAGTCATGAAGCTCGGGGAAGAGAAAAGAAGACCGCAGACAGTGTACAGTCTAGCGGGGGCCAAAGACTGCAAACCTCACTCAATGAAAAGGATCTACATTATATATCCGACTAGCAAGCCTAAGAATAGCGTTCCGACACCTCAGTAAGGAATCGTTCACGACTCTGTACACCGTGTACGTCATACCCATACTAGAGCATGCAGCAGCAATTTGGAACCCACACCAGGTCAAGCGCGTCAAGAAATTAGAGAAAGTGCAAAGGTTGGCAATGAGACTAGTCCCGGATCTAAGGGGAATGTCCTACGAGGAGAAATTAAGGGAAATCGACCTGACAACACTGGAGGACAGAAGGGAGAGGGGAGAAACGTGATTACGATATGTAAAATACTGGGAGGAATTGACAAGGTGGACAGATACAATATGTTCCAAAGATGGGACTCAGCAACAAGGGGTCAAAATTGGAAGTTGATGACTCAGATGAGTCACAGGAATGATAAGAAGTATTTCTTCAGTCATAGAGTTTACAGGAAGTGGAACAGTCTGGAGAATGATGTAAAGGAGGCAGGATACTTACATAGCTTTAGGAAGAGGTATGACAAAGCTCAGGGAGCAAGGAGAGAATCGGCCTATTAGCGACTAGAGAAGAGGCAGGGTCAGAAGCTATGACCGAACCCCTGCAACCACAATTAGGTGAGTTCATGCACAAGCACTCACTAACACACACATACTCAAAGTTATTTTTTTATATATTGTGCTTAACCTGATTTTTTCTGATAGCTAACATGTTTTATCGAACTGGCAAATAGGAAACACGAATTATACAAAAGCATGAGACAAAAATTAACCAGTATAAAATAAAATACAATACGTCATTTAAGTATGTTTAACAGAAAAAAAAATTCCAAAATCCTATGTGATCAAACAGTCAGAGTCTCAAGACAGTGAGTGGAGCACTGTACTCATTATAATAACGTGACTGATATATTATAAAAATACGTTTAATTATTTTACCCTGATTTCTGATAAAATGCGTATGTAATTTAAATGAAATTAGTACATATAAGTGTCTGGTATCTATATGGGGCCGATAACTACAGCTGAGCAACTGTTGTGTTATCTCAGGGTAAGTCCAGGGTCACAAAGTGTCTGGGGGTATATATAGTGGAGGAGAGAGGTGGTTCCTCATCACCAACATGAAGGTCTTGGTGTTCTGTGCTCTAGTGGCTGCTGCCGCTGCTTGGCCCAACTTTGGCTTCGTGAACGACGGTACTGGTGGTGAGTAAACTGTATTATGTTGTGTAATTTAGCTGTCAGGCGGCTGTTGCTGTACTGGACTTATGCACTTCAATGTCTACTGTTTTCAATGTAGTGACTAATCACGTTTGCTAAAGTTAAAAATAATTACTTGTCAGTGTCACTTTAATCTGCATCTTATGCAGCACACAAATATGCATATTTTAAACCAAATTTTTACAAATGGCTTGGTATATTTGAGCAAAACAAGCAATAAATTAAGCCAAAATATACCAGATTTAACGAAAAAATATTCATCTATTATGCATTATGCATGTTTCTTTCGGAAAAAAATAGACTAGAAACGAATGCACAAAAATTAAATAAAAAAAATGCTTTTCTATTCATTTACACAAGGAACTTTATATCACTATTTACTCTTACATTGACCACATATCGCTACGAAGACTACCAATTCATAACAGTTAAACCATACCACGCACTGGGATAGAACCCGCGATCACAGAGTCTCAAAAATCCAGACCGTCGCGTTAGCCACTGGAACAGCTAGCCAAAATGAGATTCATCCAGCTAGGTGTATTTGAGGGGACTTGAGCTAGAGTTCGTCACGGCCACGCTAGCTGGAGATTCGTCTGTAAAAATTTGCATTTGTGGTCACAGTGGTGCCTATGCTAGCCTTCCTATGGTGTAGAAATATACCTAGTTGGACGAATCTTATTGTGGCTAGCTGGTCCAGTGGCTAACGCGACGGTCTGGAGTTTTGAGACTCTCTGATCACGGGTTCTATGCCCATCCGTGGTATGGTTTGTTTGCAATCGTGTCATTACGATTTCGTGAGTCATAACAGCTAATAAAGGAGAAAGTACACAAAATGATTGTATAGAATGGGTTTCTCGAAGATCGACTGCTAGTGCACTCAGCTCACACACAGAGGTACGGGTTTCCATAAGACGTGTTTCCATAAGACAACTGCTGTCCTTGTCCCTCCTCAGCCATCAGTTTAAAATGGGTACCTGGGTGTTAGTCGACTGGTATGGGTCGCATCCTGGGACAAAACTGACCTAATTTGCCCGAAATGCTCAGCATAACAAGCGGCTTTCAATATAGTAGTATGTCATTGATGTCAGCTAGGCCTGTATACCATGTAAATGTACTTGTAGCAAATAAAGAATATTATTATTATTATTATTATTATTATTATTATTATTATTATTATTATTATTATTATTATTATTATTATTATTACTCTTATTATAGAAATTTGAAAATATCAAGTAATAATTTGTCTTAACAACAACATTTATGTTTCGATAAATGAAGAAAACCATTTACATTGGTAGAAATGTTAACCAAGTAATAAATGATGATTTTTGTGTTCTAGGGGCATCTGACGCACAAAAACAGCATGACGTGAATTATCTGCTGTTCAAAGTATATGAAGACGTACGTGATGAAAACCTCCATAAGCTTGGCGAGACCTTCGACCCTGAAGCTGACACATCACACTATTCTGACAATGGAGAAGCTGTTCACAAGCTAGTAAAGGAACTGAAGGACCACAGGCTGCTCCAACAGAAACACTGGTTCTCCCTCTTTAATACACGACAGCGTGAAGAAGCACTTCTGCTCTATGACGTATTGGAACACAGCAATGACTGGCAAACATTTGTGAGCAATGCTGCATATTTCAGAAATCATGTTAATGAAGGAGAATTTGTTTATGCTTTGTATGCAGCAGTCATCCACTCTTCACTTACCAAAAACGTTGTACTGCCACCACTTTACGAGGTCACTCCACACTTGTTCACAAACAGTGAAGTTATCCAGGAAGCCTACCATGCCAAAATGACTCAAACACCTGGTAAATTCAGATCCCACTTTACTGGTAGCAAAAAGAACCCCGAGCAACGTGTAGCATATTTCGGCGAAGATATTGGCTTGAATACCCACCATGTTACTTGGCACTTGGAGTTCCCATTCTGGTGGAACGACAAACATGAAGGATATCACCTGGATCGTAAGGGTGAAAACTTCTTCTGGGTACATCACCAGCTCACTGTTCGCTTTGATGCTGAACGTCTTTCCAATCACTTGGATCCCGTGAATGAACTTCACTGGGAAGCAACCATCGAGGAGGGTTTCGCTCCCCATACAACTTATAAGTATGGCGGTGAATTCCCATCTCGTCCTGATAATATTCACTTTGAGGATGTCGACGGTATTGCTCATATTCGTGACTTGATTATTCTTGAGAACCGTATTCGTGATGCGATTGCCCATGGATATGTTACAGCTCATGATGGATCCACTGTTGATATAAACAACTCCCACGGAATTGATGTCCTTGGTGATGTCATTGAATCGTCAACATACAGCCCTAATGTTGAGTACTATGGTTCTCTCCACAACACAGCTCACATAGTGCTAGGCCGCCAAGGAGATCCACATGGGAAATATGACTTACCTCCTGGAGTACTGGAACACTTTGAAACTTCCACTCGCGACCCAGCATTCTTTAGATTACATAAATATATGGATAACATCTTCAGGGAACACAAGGATAGTCTTACTCCCTACACCAAAGAAGAGTTAGAGTTCAGTGGAGTTGCTATTGATGGTGTTTCAATTGATGGCCCTCTAGAAACTTTCTTTGAGGATTTCGAATATAACTTAGTCAATGCTGTAGATGACACACCTCAAGTTGCAGATGTTGCTATCTCTACTGTTGTGTCACGTCTTAACCATAAGGACTTTTCATTCAAAATTGATGTTAACAACAATAATGATCACGAAGTACTGGCAACAGTCCGTATCTTCGCCTGGCCACACAATGACAACAATGATATTCCCTACTCATTCAACGAGGGACGCTGGAGAGCCATCGAGCTAGACAGGTTCTGGACAAAATGTAAGTAGACTTTGCTCTGTTTTCCTGTAGGTTTGAATGTTATGAATCAGAAATAAAGTAATATATAATATTGAAAAACGGTAGTAAATTTTCAGTGATTATATAATAATATTCACATAAATATTTAATTGACGACATAACTTACATAATGCACATTATAAAGTATGTTTTGTTATCCCATTAGTGAGTCCTGGAGTGAACCACATCGTTCGCAAGTCTACTGAGTCAGCAGTGACTGTTCCTGACGTACCCAGTTTCGATTCTCTAATAGAGCGAACTGAGGCCGCACTTTCGGCTGGTAGTAGCGAAGTCGACATTCATGAATTTGTGAGTGCAGTTGGAGTGCCCAACAGGTTCTTGATCCCCAAGGGTAACTCAGAAGGTCTGGAGTTCGAGCTGGTGGTGGCTGTGACAGACGGCAAAGCCGATGCTGCTGTAGAAGGTCTGCATGAAAACACCGTTTTCAATCACTATGGCTACCACGGAGTGTATCCCGACAACCGACCACACGGTTATCCCCTGGATCGTCGTGTAGATGATGAACGCATCTTCCACGACCTTTCCAATTTCCACCAACATACAGTCAAGATCTACAATCATTAAATTTGAAGATAAAAGATCTCGACAATAATATGCAATAAAATTTTGAAAATAATGAAGATTTTGTTTGTTTTACTTAAGTAAATTCTTGACGAATAATGAAGCTGTGATGAGATGTCCATTGATATGACGACGTTCATGTCAAGCATATTATCCCATGAATTTATATTTACTCTCTGCTTAAAGAACTGAGTCTAGATGACTTTCTTTAAGACTAATCCTACTTTATTTATGGATTACATTGAAATTGATTTATTACCACATCTCAATTTTGCATCCGGTCACTCCAAAAATTTTGTGTATGCCCTTGACGCCATGACAGTACCAGGGGCAGCGCACCTTATAATTTCACTGTTAATTACACGCCGTATTATTACCACTAATAGTATCCATTATTTACACACACAAATAATTCAGTAAATAATATCTTGATACAATATTAAATTGCTGATATTAAGTAATTAATCAAGACTTTGCACATTTTTCTTAATAAATAAATCAGATTTTCTATTTTATGCGGTACATTGAGCCTTGTACATCAACAGTTAATAAGGTAACGAAGCACACTTGACAATGGACATCTGGCCAACAAGACATAAATACCTGGAGTATACTTACAGAGAGTTTCTGGGTCAACGCCACCGCAGCCGGGTATGTGCCCAGGCCTAGCTACATATAACTCAAGAAATGTGTAGTTCACAAGTTCTTGGTAAACACTCGAGTAAATATGTGGAACTTACATAAGATTACATTTAGAATTTAATTCTAGCACATAATGCTCTATGTTGAGAAGAAATTAAAGAATTTGCCTGTTAATGAAATTCCTTAAATATATCATTGTTTATATCTTTTTACGATTAATTCTTCGCATTGTTACTTAAGAATTCTTATTATATAGTAAATAAATACGGAAAATATATAAAAAAAGTCTTTCTACCTATTCAGCTCCAAGAACTATTATAATGATTCGAATTCAAATTATTATGATTTTTCTGAATGTTTGTTGTTAATTTATGATTACAAGCTGAAACAAAAACTTATATTAACAAATAGGTATTACTGTAGCACATATATACAACACTATCAACACCTCAGCAACTAAAACTATAACCAAACAAGATCTATCCTCAAAAAAAAAAAAATATATGTAGGTATAACTGGAAGAGGTTTGAATAAATGGGTAATATCAAGACATGATATGTTAATGTTATTATATGAATGACTTACACCACATTAGTGCCTGATCATCCCGACAGTGCACAAGGGCCGTTAAAAATACATTTTATCTATCTTCACTTATTATAGAAATAAAGAAGCTCTTAACTCTCAACGTATATATATCCCAAATGATAAATATATTTCTTTTTGTGGCTAAATACCAAATTTATTGCTGATATATTTGATTTATAACAAACTGAATACACTAAGGGTTGCATAAATTAGGAAATAAAGATTGCTGGGGTAGAGGGTGTTAGACTTAAATTATTATTTAATACTCTTTTATATTCCTTGATATTTACATATTATTTTCATAAATATTTCTTTAACAATAACTTTTCTTCGGGAAAGTTTATATTATATCTAAATTATTATCGTCATATAATTATTTTTATAAGTAGAAATATCTCAAAAAGGCGTATCTACAGTGCTTTCTTAATTTTATTTATATTTTTGCTTCCTTCAAAGGTTATTAGAAGATAACTTTAGGACGCTTCTTTTCGTCGATTTCAGTCCTTCAATGCTGTTTTATCTTATGTAGAGAAATGTTTAGATTTTTGAGGAGGTTTGCAGGTTCCCTATGACCAAATCAAAATAAGAAATTGCTATGAAAATTGCACCGCACAATACTTAACGAAACATAATAGCATATGCAGCGTTATGTATCTATAAGGAAGTCCCATAATTTTGCTGCAGTGTTAAGTGATCTTCAACAGCGGTTTCTTAAATTTATGTGAAATGTATTATCAAATGTCGCCACTGAAGACTTTCTTTGAAAAAATATAAAAAGTGCCAAATGACTGCATTACATGCAATTCGAGAATATGCACTTAATCTTTGGAAGGTTTTCTTGCTTCATCACCATTATTTAGTTTTAGTATTCCAACAGTCAGTTTGCATGTTCATAGTCAATAGTTACATATATTTTGTTTTAATCCCTGTTATACTGTATCCTTTCGATGATGTTAGTGGCTGTTTCGAGACATTTTTGTCTTCTCACTTATTTTACATAACAGTTGGAAGTTTTCCCAGTATAGAAGGTAGGGCTGCAGGCTACTGTGAACTATACATGCGCCACTTCTTTCATTCATTTTGCTACCATTCTTGTTTGTTACTAAACGCAAGTTGGATGCGAAAATTCCTTAATGGTTTTTGAAGTAGGAATTCCTTTATTCTTCTTAAAATTACATAGGAGAGCAGTAATTATGACTTCAGTAAATCGCATGTTTTTTTTTTCAGCATAATTCATTGTGAACTCCAACTCTATGGTTGTTACCTATATGTACTGCTTTGTGTTTACTACAGTAAATGATAAAGGACACACACCACATGGCTGATTGTTTATCGTCACACAAACGTACTTCTCACTAATCTTGTTAATACTTCTATCACTGATGCTTCTGGTGTCTACTCCATTTCTTGTTCAAGTTCTCTCCAGTACTTTGATCAAAGCATCCACTCTCTTTCTGACACATAGGGAGTACAAATGATGTATTTACCATGGCGACATGAACGAAGCAGCCTTCTCTCCTCCACTTGCTATGACTTCAGCATAATTATTTCTTTGTCTTTCCTTCCTTCTTTCTTGGTGGCTTCTGTCCCTGATTTTTTTTTCATAGAAGTTGTGTCCTTTGGTAGATTTTACCCTCATCCCATGGGCTAGTAACCCATCCACAGTGCTCCTATGTTCTTTTGTCTTTTCCACTACCACTTCTGACACTGTTACTAATTCTTTCACTCATACTGCTTTATTACATCTACCACTTGTTTTACCGTTACCACTACACTACCACGTCTCTGGTACTACAGTCACTATTACTAATACTATTACTACTACTACCACCTAGACTACTACTATTATTACTGATACCACCACTTCTACTACTACTATTACTAATAGAACAACTACTACTAATGCTACTGTAGTGTTAATCTCCTCCTTTTCATCATTCTGCCTTCTAGTTGTCTCTGACTCATGATTTGACTGCGGTGCAGGATGGAGCAAAACGTCATCGCGTTACCGCTTCTGCATACAGAAATTCGTCAGTAAAAAAAAATCTGAGTGCACTGAGAAGAAAGCCTATCTTCACCCATCTTTGGTTTCGAAATTTAGACATTAATTAAAATAGTGTCTACTCGGGAAAGGTTGCCTGAAAGTTGCATGTGTCCATCGGTGATATTGCACATGTTTGAAAATAGTTTGGTCAATTTTTCCACTAACTTAAGAAGTGCACTAACGATCTAGGAATTGGTAGTGAATGATACAGAAAATGCAGATATTTACATAATTTTTTGAAATGATTGTAACACTGTCCAACAAGTAACCAGAACGCTTGCATAATTTATAATACACCCAATGCTCGTGCAATACATTGAAATTCTACCAGCCACCTTTTGGTATATATGTTAAATTACTTATTCAGGAGAGATACATAATCATTTCTAAAATCTACCCTAATCAGCACTTCCAACACTGATCCACAGAACCAGAGTAGTTTTTTTGTAAACAAAAAACCTAATTCAAAACATGTTTGGAAGTCATCAGGTTAAATACTCTTCTTCACCTCACTTTCTTTCGTTTGCTCCTGTACATATATAATCCTGTCTCATATTTTCTGTAATGATTTGTTTAAGCTGGTTTTTGGGCACGACGTTACTGTTAATAAATGTATTCACTGTATGTAAATTTCATTTATTATACACAAGATTTGCAATGACGAATTTCTTCAAGCAGAACAGAAATATATTGAAGATTTTTTCTCCGTCCTAAGTTACCACTCAATCTAATCAATGATGCAACAGTTTTCAAAGTTTTAAAAATCTATGTAGAACGAAATATTCCTTAGGATGGAGGTTTGCCTCCACCTATTTGATACTGAAAACTTACAAAAAAAAAAAAAAAAAAAAGATAAAATAATTAGAATGTTAATAAATAAGTGTAGAAATAGTAAAGTAAATTTAGTTCGATCTCAGGCATGTACAATTCCTGTACCAATAACTAAATATACGTTATTTTAACTTAGATGCGTTTTTTCAGTAGTAATTATGCAGTTCCGCTAATTAAAATTGACATGACTCCCAGTCACAGTTCAATTCATTCAGACTAAAATCACATCCAAGTTCAGTTCAGCTGATTTACTGGCATCACTCCCAGGTGGCCTGGTGGCTGAAGCTCCCGCTTCACACACGGAGGATCCGGGTTCGATTCCCGGCGGGTGGAAACATTTAGACACGTTTCCTTACACCTATTGTCCTGTTCACCTAGCAGCAAATAGGTACCTGGGTGTTAGTCGACTGGTGTGGGTCGCATCCTGGGGGACAAGATTAAGGACCCCAATGGAAATAACTTAGACAGTCCTCGATGACGCACTGACTTTCTTGGGTTATCCTGGGTGGCTAACCCTCCGGGGTTAAAAATCCGAACGAAATCTTATCTTATCTTTCAGGCTAACATCACTCCCACGTACATAAACATAAAATATCAATATTGAGTAAGTGTGAATTTTGTCAGACATTATTGTCACGGGGAGACCTAGCTGCTACATTAACACAAAACGGGTTGTGAAAATATTCTGAAGGGAGAATGGTAGTTCAGGGAGCAGAGCCTAGAGTGCCGAGTCATAGGCGTCACGTTAAGGTATCGAGAGAACGTAGGAGGCAGAACAAGGAGGTGGAGAGAGTACTGAAGTAAACTTGTTTCTACCCATGGCTGGGTAGTGTTTTTTGCCGGTGATCAGCCACTCGACCTGTCTTCTTGTCAACACACACACACACACACACACACACACACACACAACTAGGTGAGTACACACACACACACACACACACACACACACACACA